AAAAACGGTGGGAGTCCTAGTGTAAATAGTTGTAAAAGTTCAATTGAGATATAGCATGATGGTCATAGGATCCTGGAAGTACTGTGAAACGCGCTGCAGAGAAAGCCACCACCGCACGTCGATTCTGCGTTGAAGCAATTATTTTGAGCCTTGCTATTAATAAGCACAGGTCGATATCAAATATGTGCTGGCAGTGTCACGGCTGTGGACCGCGCTCCTGTCGTCGCTATAGCTTAAAGCTCTCTGCGCACAATCCCCTTGAGCCGTGTCACCCAGGCCCTTCGCGCTTCTGCCCTACGCCTTGACACCTGTCCGGGCTGATGGCGTCCCGCTCAAAGTGACATGCAGACGGGTGACAGGTGAGGCCTGGAGTCACCCCTTATGTCCCGCGGATGGCTTATAGACGCTCGGACCGATGGAGAGAGAAAGCCCTGGGAGGAGAGAGGAGATGGCGGGACGGCATTGCAGACTTGCGTGACAGACTCGGCCATTAGGAAACGGAGGCGCTTCACTGGTCGTTAGAGGAGGCGCCACACAAACACCCAACACCACCCGTAACTGGGAGTAATGGTGCGGACAGGGCAGTGGAAAAACGCAGACAAACAGCGAGCACTATTCACACAGACTTTTGAGATGTGATTTTGCCTAAATGCACAGACGGGGAGGCTTCTGGGATTTCCTGTTAGTTTGCGGAAATTGCCAGGGATCGGGAAGAACTATTTTATACTTAATGAGATGTTGTTAGTGAGATCGCAGCTATAGTTTGATGCCAGAAGAAGCATTAGTTCATGTAATGGATTTATCTTCGGCAAAGTTCTGCACTGCTGTTGATTCATTGTTGGAATGTATTAGTTGTGGATCGACGATTAATTAAACTTTTTGATCTTGCTAGTTCAACGCTATCAAAACGTTTCTGTTCTATCACTAGTTTCAACAAGTGTGTATTTTTTGCCTCTGTCACATCAGCTTTTTCAGACAGAAAATTGAAAATGAGAGGACCCCCCTCACTCAAAGCATGAAATAGTCGGAAGTATACAGCATGTTGTGGTCTTGTTTGTGATCATGTTTCCGCTGACATTGCATAAAGGGAGCGCAAAGCCGTATGGCACCACTGAATAGGGAAGAGCGAGGACTCATTTTGTTTATTACATTATTTTACATTATATTGATTATAAATATAAAGATGACTGATAGTTAGATCAGTGTGTCCCAACCTTATTATTCCTGTGTACCCCCTCTCAAGAGTAGACACCGCATGAGTTACAGCAAATCTTGATTTTCATTATGGAAAATGCTTATAAACATATTTTATAAGATATAACACAAGATTCATTTTTGTTTTAATTGTTTAGGTATTTGAGCCATTTTTGAGTTTATTTAAAATTTGTATATTTACCTTAACTTGGACCCAAAGCAAGAAAGGCTTTTTTTTGCAAATACTGGACCGATTCTTCTTTTTATTATTATTATCATTAATTGTTTTGTTTTTATATACGTTTTTTATTTTTAAAAGGAATAACCCCTTGAGATGAATCATCTCGTTTCCGAGGGGGTCCTCAAATTTTAAGTTGGTTCTCTTGGGAAAAATTTGCTTTACGATGTGTTAGATGCCATAGTAGCCCACATTTACCTTTCTAATATTAATGTCTTACAGTTTTGTAATACCCTTTTGTACTTCTAGTGGTCTGTATACCCCTGGTCGGCAAACACTGACAGAGATGATCACAAAAAACAAAAACATAAAATGCAAAGTCGGGGGAAAACGCATCATCCTTTTGTAATACTTGGTTTTGTTTTCATTAGCTTCACCAACCTGCCACGCTCCCTTTCAAACATTTGTGGTCAGGCGCACTTGCCAAGACTACTCCCTCACTCCACAGTTCTTAAAATGAGCTCTGAACAAACCAAAAAATCTCTTGTTAAATAATAACCCTGCTCTGCTCTGGCTGATGCTACACAGGGGCCGGCTTGTTAACATTTATGTATGGATGAGATGAAAGGCAGCGGCGTGGGCTCTCACCGGGGGGACAAAAGAGGTTATAAAGTGAACTAAACACATAAACAGAAAGAGTGTAGCGGATCACCCCACGCCTCTGTGTCCCTCCCCTTCCCCCCCTGAGCTGTCTCCTTGTTATAACAGCAGCTCGTCTCAGGACAGCCGGCCGCCCTGCAGTCATCATTAAAGAGAAAGGGAAGAGCCGCAGAGGGCAGGGAAGGGAGCGGAGGCATCGGCACGGTTCAACATGGAGCCCACCACACACACATACACACACACAGTCCAGTGTATCTGCAAATATCGTTTACATTTGCCAGTTGTCATTGCAGTTGTCCAACTGGCTCAAACTGTTCATGGATCAATTGAAAGTGAAGAAACATTGGACATAACACGCAATAACGACTTGTGGCAATAATCTTGAGACCATAGATTGCACATTAGCAGTGGACTTACAGAGCGCTGACGCTTACCCCTGGTTTGGAAACAATTACAAATGCCATAGTACATGGTTAGCTTGCTAAGTATAGCAAGGCAAGTAAGTCTAATGGGCAATATAGCTCAATATTGAGCCGATACTACTTACTTTACCACATACTTTCAAACCACAAAAAATGTATAAATAAAATCCTAAATCTTGTTCACACATACAGCCCTGAATCACAAAACGAGTCGTCTCAGAGGATCATACAATATTGGAAGTTCACCAACAACATATAGAGATGCATAACAAACACATAGGAGTGATTGCTGTTCATAAACGTTGATATGAGAACAAATGTCCTGGATCATAACGGTTCTTAGACACTTCTACATTGGCAAGGAACAACTCAAATTGTCACATAGATTCTTATTTTCATAGAGTACAGAATACAATATGTCTTCTTCACAGTATCCAGGCCTAACCCAGCTTAGTATGACCGCAAAGACGAGGAGACATGATGATGGATGAGATTGCATCAACAGTTACAGCCGCACTACTGCAGGCAAACTACTTTCGCACAATACTTTGAGAGGCATCAGCACGCACCACTTCACCAAAGTCCTGTTTACTACACACCGGACGGACATTGGCTTCACAATACATCTCCGACAGACACTCCCCACTCACTATCTATCGTGCCTCTGCCCTCATCTGGCTTTGCGGTGGACACAACAGAAACAGCTGAGGCGGTAAAGTGTGATAATCTGATGGGACTTCCTCCAGAAAAAACTCTTAGAAAAAACAAAGCAACTATCTCTTCATGTTCTTGGTTTGAAAAAGTTTTCCTCCAGTCAACTCAGCGGGGGTAGTCTTGCGGGAATCAAATGGAAAACAAAGCGGAAATAAACAAAAATGAATTTATTTAGCAGAGTTTACGAGCCAAAAGTGACAAACTGTGAGCGATTTGTAAATAGCGCGAGATGATGGCGGGATGTTCGTGATAAAAAAGAGCAAAGAGGAGGGAGAGGCAGTTTGACTTTGGGAAGATGCTTTTTTGATAAATTACAACTGGTGTAGAAAGATTTGAGCGCGGGCAATGAGAGAGAATCTGTGCGCCGCTGTGACAGAAGTGCGGAATTTTAAACAGTTTGGTGGCAGCTTCCAAGGAACTCGTTTACACAAGCTTTATTTCTTATTCATGCCTTTTTATGATTTTCCCAGAAAGGCATGTATAACTCTGACCTCCAGACCTCATAATGCGCTGTTTTTATTGTGCGCGGCTCCAAAACAAAAACGCTTTACAACATCACAGTTTGTGGTGGCGCTTGTTTCATTTGGGGTTTAGTTAATACTTAATGAAGTTAGAGCAATGGTTTACACATGAAATATTACAAGAAAAAGCGTGTTTTGCTTCTCAATGGGTTTCTTGCTGGGGCTTTCGCTGAAAAAGAAGCAGAGGAAGTGTAGGCACAAGCTGTATGTTTAGCTGCATTTGATTCCTATAAAAACTTAAAGCTGGGGTACCTAAAATATGTCCCCATAAGTAATCCAACAAATCAGACCAAAACAAGCTGAGAAGCATGCAAGTATCTTTAGCATACTTGTAGGAAAATTAATTATATTCAAACTTTACAAAGTTGTCGATTCGCCAACAACAGATCAGAGAATCAAACCGTTTGAACACAGGAAATGCAATAATAACAAATCCATAGGAGGCATTGGTCCATAGGGAGTGTGAAGACCAACACTGTCCTGCATTGGAAAGCAATGATGCAAAAAAAAAAAAATAACCCAGTGCTACCCTTTTAATAACCAAGTAGACCCTTTTAGCTGGTTAAGTTAAAATTTAGCTCAAAAAAAAAAAAGGAGCGCTAGGGAATCCCAAACAAGGTAATCCAAAAAAGGTACCCCAGCTACCCAGCATCCATCCATTTTCTTCACCTTAATCCATTTCTGGGTCAGGGGTTGGCACTCAGCTGCCACCCAATTCACAGAGCACCAGCCCCTCACTGATCCTCCTGGAGGTGGTGAGGTCACAGGAGGATGGCTGCTCTGTCTGTGAGAGCATCACTCTCTTTCAGCAGGAGCTTCAGGAGAAGTAGCGTTAAGAGTCTTGCACAAAGACACAAACGGCAGCAGATATCAGTGGGATTCGGTCTTGTGGTGGGCTCGAACCCACATCAAATGCCAATGCTCTACCAAGCCACTGTAGCTATAATGTTTAGTAAATAAAAGGTAATTTAAGGGTTCTATTTTTAAAACTAGCATAGCATATAGACCCTTCTGTTAATCTTTTATCATGGTTAATTTGAGCTAGTGGTAATAAATGTAGTTATATAAATGTATCAACTTAAAGCAGTTTTTGCAACTTCCCCCAAAGCGCGCAGCAGTAATCATAGTAAGCATCGATACATCTGCGAGTTAAATCTCATTAGAGGATTGTTTTATCATCTTCAGACCACATTTTCCAGCTTGTGTCATCAACATACTGTATATGGCAACCCTTTAATCAGCGTTATGACTCAAGTGTTTGGAAGATTTCCCAGATGAAAATTCTGAATGAACGAAACGAGTGGCACTCACGCTGACGAGCATCTGCGGGAAGGGTCCTCGAGAGTTCTCGGCCACGTTGATGGGGGGGATCACCCAGTCCCTCTTGTGTCTGCGCAGGGGCCCCGAGGCAGTGCGGCCAGACGCTGGGAACCGGATGACAGGGGGAGGATCCGCGCTGGAGTTCTGTGTGATCTACAATGAGCAGAAAGCAAGGATTTAGAAGATTCAAAAAGCAAACGAGGCAAAAGGAGAATGCTAAAGTTTCCAGCATAGTTTTGGGCTGTTGATTTTAAAGCTGGGGTATGTAACTTGCAAGCCAAAACAATGGGACTAAGTAATACAGTCCATCAAATATTTTTCACGTTCCTGTATTTTTTTATCTCTGTCACAGTTTTAGATCAGATTTCTCTGACAGGAAAGTGAAGACGACACCCGCCTCATTCTCAGCTATATGCCCCAAAGCATGGGTGTCAAAGTCAAGGCTTGGGGGCCAGATCCGGCCCGCAAATTAATTACCTTGGATGATATTTGATTAATATTAGAACCGGCCCGCATAGAGCCATGACAAAAATATTAAACTATTAATTTAATGTTCAGGAAATGAGTTTACTCTTTGAAGGAAGTTTGTCTTTGTCTGTGAAACATATTTTCGCTTGAAATTACATGCAAAAATATTGGATTATTGTATAATTAATTAGATAAAATACGGTACACTGTGTTAGATTGGTTCAATAGGTTGTATGTAATCATTTTAATATGTTTTAATAAACTTTGAACCAGTCCAGTCTTCGGCTTGTAGCAAATTGAAAAAGGCATTTTAGGCCAGTGGTGTCCAACCCCTTTCAGGTAACTCCCCAAGGATTCAGGAATGTGACACATGATCCTAAATTACATTTTGAGTCATTGCATATCTATTGTAACTATACATGTTTTCGTTATGTTCTATATTGCAGAGTTATACAGTTATATATGGTATGTTCTAAATGTCCATGATTTTCTGCAGTTGCATTACATAGACTACAATTGTTTTACTTTTGTTTTTATATCTCATGAAATGTTGTACATCACATCGTATAAAATTTTATTTTTTAACTGCTTTCAAAATGCTGCACATGGATGTGTTAATAATATTCACTCACTCAATATAAAATATATTTAAAGAACCTATGAATGAATAATATATCCATTCATCCATCCTTTTCTTCCGCTTCATCCGTTGCCATGTCGCAGCAACGGATGGAGCGACCCGGCAACGGATGATTCGGATGAATAATATGATTTTTTTTTTTTATAGCATGATACTAAGTCAATAAATACATATAATCTATACAATTAGAAAAAAACATATAATTATTATAATGAATAAAAAAATAAAAAGCCAAAATGCATATACGTACAACTCAAGTGGTGCTAAAAGCCAGAATTTATAACTGGATCTCGTAGAACTGGAGACAATCCAAAAATGTTGATTTATTTATGGTTGGAAACTTCGATTTGAGCACAGCAGCTTTTAAATAGTTCTTTGCCGGTTTAATGAACAACAAAGGTCTTTCACAGGGCAATACTTTCTTATCGGCAATGGCAAAACTCTTAACTACTCTGAATGCCTATACCTATTACTGACTTCATTCATCTTGCACTATAAGCTGTTAGCAAACGGTCGTCTGCTGCAAATTCAGTCACTGCTTCAATGCAATGACGGAATGCATTTAGGACGTAAAAACAAGTGTTCGCATTGACTTTGGCTTGGCCTCAAAAGCATAAATGTAAGAAAATTAAATAAGAAATATTATCATATTTTTTAGTGCCAAAAATAATGCATGAGACTATCGCTTTTGTCATCTCAAGTTTTAGATGGCAGTTAGAGCTGCACCCAATTAACAGACACCGGCCCCTCACTTATCCACCTGCAGGATGGCTACTTAATCTTTCTTGATCTTTCAGCGGGGGCTTCTGGCAAAGTGGGGTTTAGTGTCTTGCCCGAGGACACAACTGAAGCAGATATCAGTGGGAGTCTGTGGAGAAAGTCTCGTGGCAGACTCAAACCCACCACCTTCAGGCAGAAAATTACTGGCCGCAAACACAGCCATGCAATTGCAAGGGCGTGCAGATGTAAAGACGTGCAAATGTACAGAACAACATTTATGGGCAAAAGGTTTGTTTTAAGAGACAGAGAGCATGATGCCATAGTAGTACAATGACATCAGACTATCAAGGGACTGCGAAAGGAACTTTTCGACAGAAGGGGGTGGAGTTACAGGTTGGAGGCAGAAGTTTCTGATATTAGCGTGACCCCAATTTTATCTGGGGTGATGAAGTAATGTAGCTATTTAAGTCATTGTGCATCACTATGTCGAATAGGAAGGGAGTCATTGGTGACATAGTAAGTAGGAAGTAAGTAATCTTTATTTATATACCGCCTTTTCACTGCAGATCTGAGTCTCAAAGCGGTTTTTACAATTTTTATTTTTTTGGGGCATTTGTCTCTCACTCCACACAGAGATGGGAGCGATGTCGCCAGTACAGGAGGCGCATGCCAGACCTATTGTACATATTTTTAGTGGTAGGGGAAACCGGAGTACCCGGAGGAAACCTACGCAGACACGGGGAGAACATGCAAACTCCACTCAGAAAGGCCCTGGTCCGACCGGGATTTGAACCCAGGACCTTCTAGTAGCAGTATTCAAGAGTCTTACATCCTGTTTGATTATGAAGATCTTTCCCCATGCAAAAAAAATGCTTATCGTTTTTTAATGTGTTAATTACAATGGTCGTGTTGTTAACTTTGTATAATTCTCAAATCCATGGTGTGTGAATGGTTAATAGCAGAACCTCAGGGCAAGTGTAAGAATAAAAAGATAGAGGAGGTATTAAAGAAGTGAAAGAAGAAGGAATTATGGCAGCAGCGGTGGGTAAAGTAGTTCAACACTTGTAATCAGCAGGAGAAAGCAAGAGACGGCAAACAGTAATGGAAGAAAAGTCTTATTTTTAGACCGAAATGCGACTTTATGATATTACTTTGTGAAACCTCAAAAATGGACAAAAACTCTTGCACTGTCTACTTGCATTCACCATCATGTTTATTTAGAAATTAGCAATTATTTAACTCAGTTAACCAGGAAAGTGCCACTGAGATTCCAGAATCTCTTTTTCACAGAAGTCCTGCCCCCGGAGAGAGGGGAGCAATCTTACATGTTTTAGTTGTAGGGGAGACCGGAAGAGACGGGGGAAACATGCAAACTCCACACAGAAAGGCCCTGTCTGGAGGTTAAATCAAACCCTTCTTGCTGTAAACTGAAACTGAAAATGAGACTGCAAAAAGTTGTAAAAGACGTGGACACAGAGCTAGAAGTCTATATATTGTTGGAACCACTCTTTTTTCAGTATGATTATGACCCTCGGCTTCTGGTGCCAAGAGTCCGGAATAGGCTTGGAGAGACAAATTCAGATTTATGCGGCCAAAATCCGGCTCAGTCTCCCTGAGCTTGTAAGACAGGCCACGTCCCTCGCAGCTGTGCATACGATTACTTTTTTTTTTTAACTTTTTTATTTTTGACACATTGTTTCATATGTATTTGCACCATTTTTTGTTACTGTTTGATCCTGTTTTTAATTCAAGTGTATTGATGTTGGCTTGAGAAGCACTTTGGGTTACACTGTGACTTAATAAATACATTTGATTGATTGAACATTGAGATTTAAAATGTATTAAATTGATAGTAATGTCCCCCTGCCATCATAGATTATCACTATATTGCACTCAGGAGCACAAAACACTTTCTGCCAAAAAAGCGGCAGCTCAAGTCCTGACTAGAACCAGGAAGTATGATCACATCAGTCCAGTTCTCAGGTCTCTACACTGGCTTCCTGTGGCTCAGAGAATACACTTTAAAACAGCTCTGCTTGTGTACAAGTCTCTCCATGGCCTCGCACCAAAGTACATCTGTGAAATGTTAGAGCCATATGAACCAACTTTGACTCTGAGGAGCACAGGGACTGGCCTCCTGCTGGTGTCCAGAGTCAGAACTAAACATGGGGAAGCAGGATTTCAGATTTATGCAGCTAAAATCTGGAACAGCCTTCCTGAAAATGTGAGACAGGCCTCCTCTCTGACAATGTTGAAATCCAGGTTAAAAACAGTTCTGTCTAGCTGTGCATACAACTGAGGGATTTTATCTTCAATTTTTTTAACGTGCTCTGATTATTAATTATGTTAATGCCTTGTATTGTTTATATATTTTTTTGTTCAGCACTTTGAGTTGTCTTGTGTACAAACTGTGCTACACAAATAAACAAGATGGAACAAAGACAGCACACCGCGACTCAAACGCGCCCATTACCAGCCTGTTTCAGGCCGCACTTGCCGCGCTGCTGCAGGTGCGCCGTGAGTGCGTCCTGCATGCTGGGACGCCACCATAACTGTCACACGGTGTCTGCTACACAGACATAAAAAGCCTATTAACAGAGCGCATGTCTGTGTGAGGATTTACAGCCTGCTGCAGAGAGCACGGGTATCTCCATCAAGCCCTTCCCTTCCACCGCAGCGGAGAAATGACCATCACAAACCTGTCTCCATGAAAGATGCCCCAATAATAATGGTGTAAGGCAGACATTTTTAATCTGCGCTGAAAAATCATGTTTCGATGAAGGGAAGTTACTCCGAGCCGTGATGTCATTATGCCATTAGTTGTGTGCGCACAAGTTTTCATTCTGTCGTTTTTCAAAGATTATGAATGATACTTCCACTCATGGTTGGTGGTCGGGTGAAGTTCCAATGGCCTGATCTAGCGTGCTGGATTCAAAAAAACAAAACAATATGAAAAAAGATTTGAAACTTTTTTCAAATAGGGGTTGTGTGAGGCCGTTTTTGTGGTAGTACTTTCTGTATCAGCTTTAGTGTAAGAAAAACACAAGTCTAAAACCTCTAAATTTAGCAAAATGAAGAAACATGAATTAAGTGTAAAATCCCTGACTTCAGTATAAAACTGTTTTGTCACTTGTTTTCATGTGGGTGTATTTCTGCCGTCTGTTACGTCTTTAGGACAAATCTCACAAAGTCAATCAGCTCTCAGCCCAAAAATTATATCAGAAATATTAAAAAAAAGATCATGTTTTCAAATACAATAAATACAGCAACAGTCTAAGGCCCTGTCCACACGAAGTCAAGCTCAGGCCTAAACGCAAAAATACTT